CTGGGTAGACTCAGGGCCCCTGACATGAGATCTCACCACCTGCCTGGTTGCTGCTGAGTTGAGCCACAGTAGTGCAGAGGTGAGTTAACCTGTGGTCAGATCAGGGCTTCTGAGGAAGGCGCGTGGCTCAGGTTGTGTGGCAGGCATGTCGTGCTGATTTCATCTTGCAATTCACAGTGACAAAATTATCCCGCACCTATCTTTTAAGAGAACTACCTCACAACAAGACTTCGCTTCGTGAAAGCATGTTGAAAGGAAACCAGAACCAAAATACCTGTATTGAACCCATGGTGTAATGTTGTGCAGACAATAGTGAAAGCAATGCCGTCCAGCCAGCGAGCCGGCCAGGTGTGTAACTCAGCTGCACCGCAGCCACATTGCCAGCAGACCCTGCGGACCACTAAGCGACTCCAGGGAGGCCTAGAGGAAGGGGGCAGCCTCCGCGCAGACACAGCACGCTTCATAACACGATCCCCATCAGATAAAGTCAGATGTTGCAGCCGCTCTGGCAAATGCCCACTTCCTGACAGCAAAGGACCATAGTGCAATAGCATTTTTGTCTTTGAATTCATTTTTTAACATGACACAGACTACAAAAATGGCAAGACCAGCAATTGTAATTTCTCTGAGATTAAGAGAGGCCCTATTTTTGCCTATTTTTTTTTTTTGTGGGGGAGGAGGGTGCCATCTAATCAAAGTAGCAAGGGAGAAAGACTAACAAAGCCTCACTGTTTCCTGCAAAGAGGGTTGGGGGAGGAGTTGAACCGTGCTATCATGGTGTTATAACGGAGTCATGATGTGAATCAATGGAGAGGCCAAGGCAGTCGCTCCTTCCACAGGAATCCGGGGGACAAGGGGAGAACTGGGACTCTGTAACCACAGACATGTTTCTTGTGATCCGTAACATCTCAGCTGCCATCTCCGCTGAGGCTAGGTTAGTGCTCCATTGCTAAGCCTTCTCACAGGTCAGAGCACAGGGCATTTTGAGTCATCACCTAATTAATCTTTAATTACCTGCTCCTGTCCTTTTGCCTGGAACACCCAGAACTCGTCTCTGTCTCCCGCTAGGCAATCGTGGAGGTTGAAGCCAATGATTCCCCGGTCTGGAACCCCAGCTTCACCCCGGCGACGCCCAGCTGCCCTTCGGGAAGCCTCTTGGGCTGCTTCTGTGCATGGCACGCATTCCATCACCTGGTGGTTGAGTAGTCGTCCATCTTTCTGCTCAGTGGTAAATTACCATAGCAGAAGACTATGCCGTCTCTATGCTAGCAAAGAGAAGACAGGGCGAAGGCATCCAATGTCCTTACTAATCAAACCAAATTGACATAATAGCCACAGAAAAGGATTTCTTTGGTTTTGAGTTGCATAATAAATTCTATGTATCTTAAAGAGCTTCGATCCCTGATTTGAGTTTGGTTGGGAGACTGCAGGAGTACAGGGAAGGGTAGTTGGGGAAAGAAGGCTACGATATGAACAGTACCAGCAGCAAGAGTCAGGAAAAAGCCCCAACAACCCCAGGGTGAGCGGTTGCAGGTGCCGCCGCTGGTGTGCCCGGCTCCCTAAGCCCCTCACGGATACTGCAATCATCCCGCCCAATGCATCTGTGCACTCTGTCCAGCAGCCTGCAGCCCTGACCCACCTTCATGACTCCTGGGAATCCTGGGAGTGGGTGGGAAATGGCGATCCTTCCTTCATCCCTTAGCCAGGGGCTGGCAGGAGCAGGGTCAGGAGAGGGCAGCTCCCTTGTTTTCCATGACGTGTTTTCAATTCAGAATCTTCCCTCCAGGGTCAGGCAGGGAGAGAACACTGGCCTTGGTCTGCAGGTGAATCCTGGCTCTACCCCTTCTCTGACTTCCTTTAACCTCCTTTGGGTTCCTTCCAGAAAAACACTGCATGGACAAATTTCATGTGCATCCTCAACTCAATGTCTGCCTCTAGGACTCTGACCCCAGGTAGAGATTTTAACTCTGTGGCCCCCTTGGACAGGAATGTCACGAAAAGGACCAGAGGCAAGAGAGCCCTTGCCTGTGGCTGTGGGACTTTGGAAAGGAAAGGATTGCGATAGGTGCACCGCGCTCTCCATCCCTTTCCTGCAGGTCCAGGCATCCCCAGACCTCTGGCAGAGACGATCCTATCGGGGGGCTGCCCAGGCTACTCATACCTGCAGGGGCCACTTTAAGCCTTTGGTGACATAGGTGGTTCCCAGGAGCCTTAAGAATCGATGTAGCCCTCCATGAATAGCTGTGTATCTTACTCAACTTACAATCTATTCAAGATATATATATATATATATATATATATAAAATGTTATATGAGTTATGTATAATATATAATGTATCTATATTCTTCTCATCATACTTCAAGGTTTTTTTTTAATGCCAAGATGAGAATTGGAAACACGACAGCATTTTATTTTCTTCTGAAAAAGTTTTCCTTGGGAAATAGGTCTTCTGAGGAAAGCTAGTGCTTATGCATTTTTCTTTTCAGTACTCAGATGTTCTCTGAGAACTTTAGATAAAAATCCAGATTCGATGCTCTATTCAATATTCAATATTCTATATTCTATTGGATATTTTTGTTTCAAATTTGGCCCATCGAAGTCATACTTTTAATTAACTGGGAAAAGAAAAGAGAGAGAAAGAAGGAAGACAGGGAGGGTGGGAGGGAGGAAGGAGGAGAGGAAGAAAGGAGGGAAGAGGTGAAGGAATGAGGGAAACAAGAAGGAAGGGAGGGAGGAAAAGAAGAGGATAAAAGAAGGAAGAAAAGGAGGGAGGATGGACAGAAGGAAGCAATAGTCTTTCATGTTTGTATTTTAAGCTTTCATCCACCATCTACAACTACAAAATTATTAGCTGAATTATTTCTTGTGAACCAGTATGGAAAATTCCAAGCTCTGCTCTTTAAAGCCATGCTATAAAGCATATTTTACTACCACATGGGATGGAGATTGAGTGACACAAGATAATTGTGAGGATTAAAAGATTTTCTATTTTCTTCAGCACCTCTAAGAAATTTCCAGAAATACTCAGACAGATTATTCAATGGTCAAATAACACAAAACAAAATCTGTCCTCTGCGACCGAAGCCTTGGAGATGATTATTGTCGAAGTTTCCAGCCCACCTGTCAACCCTCCTGGCCCACCTTTATAAGGCTTTCCTCCTTTGGTGCATTCTGTCAGATCGACAACCTTAAGATCTAATGGCTGATACGTTACCAAATGCTGGGGGCAGGGGGAGAGGAGGAGTAGGTAAACACCATCAAAATACTCTTTGAGCATTTAATTATTTTCGTTCACTCATATTACTCTGGAATCTTTTTTTCCCTTGCATCATCTTTGTGATGGTGTTGTGAATGAAAACGAGCCCTACTCCACAAGTCCTGCAAGAAATCAGACTCACCAGTGGGAACTGTGCTTATCATTCCAGTAGTGCTGGGTTTGATGCTCCAAGGGGTCTCTGCATGCATGTGTATGCCCTCAGTAGTCTATCGGACAAAAATGTACAAGGATGAGCAAGGCCTGGACTGAAGGAAGAGCTGCTCTGAACTTCAATTTGCCACTGCAGTTCTGTGACTTTGGGGGGAAAAACAAACTATCCTACCTGGCATCGTTTCTTTGCTTTTAAGTGACAACTAGCCAGGCCTGTATTTTGGTCTGAGCCTTGCCTTTACCATCTTTGAAAGAGCTCTGTACATGGAGAAAGAAAGAGTATTCAAATAATTGAGGCTCAGGTTGGATATACTCGGTAGCTATAAGAAGATAAGACTTAAAGCTCCATTGTAATAGTTCACATCCTCCCCTCACAATGTAATAAATACACCTGGAAAAATATGCATATATATATGTATGTATTTCCTTAGGGTTTATTGTGTGCCAGGGCACCAGCTCTCTCTGATGATGCTAGGTAGCCACCACAGATGTAGCAGATGCTATGGGGTGGGTGGTAAGGAACACCGAGGAGCAGGGTGAGGCTGGGACTCACTGGGAAGGCCCGAGACTGATCTGTGATAAGAAGTTGGGCACTGAATGACGGACCAGGCTCCTGTGTGGGACGTGCGCGTGTGCCACCGGCTCCTCCAGCTTTGCCTCTGGACTGGTGCGGGGCCTCTCATGGTTGGAAGCATCTGCAGAACGCCCCGCCTGCCTCTCAGGACTGAACAGGTCCCCTGGTCCTCTGTCACATGTGAGCCAGGAAAGCACAGGCTATGGATTGCCTCCCCCCACCCCAGGAAGCGCCTGGACTAGGAAGAACACACATGCGGGGGTCCAGGGAGACGCCACGCCCCACCTCATCTCCAGGCCCCCAGAGCATCACTGCCTCTTCTCATAAGAATACAGGCTCTCCAAGGGTTCTGGAGCCTAGAGTCTTACCACGGCCTGAGCTTCAGTTATCCGAAGACTCTATCTTAATGTAATCCCAGGGCTGATCCGACCCTGAGTTCACTCAATCCAGAAGAACACTGTTGGACTTTTATCTACCTGATCATTTTATGAGAGCAAACAAAGGCAATAGGAAAAAAATGGTTATAGCCATGAGAGGTAGGTGGGGCTTAAACCTAGAGTTCCCCTGGGTGCTATTTTACTAAGACATATTTGATCCACGTATGGGCTGCCCTACGTTCCCTGGCAGGCAGGACCTCTTGTTCATATTTATTTGAGGCAGACAGAGGGAAGGAAAGGGAGAAGGAGAGGTAAAGGAGGGCTGGTTATAAAAGATAATATATTTATTTATATACTTAAGGAAAATTGCAGCCTTGATAAGAGGGGCCCAAGTTTCTTCAGAGATTGGCTGGTGTTCTCTTAAAAGGGTGTTAGCTGGGTTTCTTTTTTTTTTGTTGTTTCATACAGGTGTCTGGCAAGGTTGGCACAGGGTGTCACAGGAATCTATTCTGTGCTGGTCTGCTGAGCTGTAGATTTCCTTACGACCTTTAAACACACGCTGGACTCCTTTCTCAGATTCATTCTCTCTCTCTCACTCTCTCTCTCTCTCTCTCTCCTTTCCTCCCTCCCTCCTCCGTCCGTCCGTCCCTCCCTCCTCCACCCAATCTCTCCCAATCTTTCTTTCTCTCTTTAGTTCCTTCAGGTAATTCCTACTCAAACTTGTTCCAACTTGTTTTTGACTGACAGTGAACAGCGAGAGAGAGTTTCTTCATTTGGAGGCAGCCTGAGCACCTATCTTTCCAAGACAACCTGCATGGGCTGATCTTTTCCTCCTGCCTCCAGCCAGGAGCCTGAACTCCTAGGTCCTCAAGGGTCCCTGCAGGTAAGAGGTGCCCGCTGCGTCCACATGGGGCCGTGCAGCATGCTGGAGATAGTCTGTCTTTTGAAAAACTTGACTTCTAAACGTAAGGAAAGAGTTGTGATTCTTTTACAACTTGCTTAAACCATTCAAGACCGCCAAGCTTATCTGGGGGAATTTACAAGTGCTGTTTGCATGTGGGAAGCGGGTTTTTCCTTAATGATGGGGGGAAAGGGGGAAAAGCACTTTCCTCTTGCCTGTGAAACAGTATCCAGATGTCCGCTGGAGTGCTGTGGGTGTTAGGGGTCTAGATTGGGAGGAGAATTACTTTGACTAGTCTTTGCAAGTGTTTTTCGATCATAGTGTCTGTCAGACCGACTTTGCAAATGACTTTTAGAGATTATATGTTCTTTGGCTAATTCTCTAGCACGTATTTTCCTTTGTTGGTGGAGAAATCAGTGTAGGTTGCCGTAAGGCAAAACCTCAGGAGAATATTTTTAAAATCTGTTACCTATCCTTATGAGAGAAAAGAAACAACAACACAAAAAAGTTATGTAAGTTTTCTGTGGTAGGTATAAGGAATGTAAACAATTCTGACTTTGGAAACATTAGAAACTTGATTCACAAGCCATGGATAATGCTTTGAATAATCTGTGTGTAATTTCGCATGAGTGTAGACTTTTCTCAGCTAATAAATGTGATGCCGGGTGAGATTTCCACATCGCTCCTACAAAACCCCCGTTTATCTCTCTTCTGTGCCTGTCTGCAGTCAGCCTCCCTCAGGAAGTAAGACTGCACCATGCCTACACGGTGTCAGGACCCCTTTAACTTACAGAAAACTGACCGTGAACGCAATGTTTCACTTTAGAAAACTAAAGACCAAAGATTGGACCGCAAAACTCAAATGTTTGAATTTGCTGCTTTAAAAAAAAATCTGGACACATGTAAAATTTCCCCTTGACCTGTACAAGGATTTCTAAAAAGCTGTAAGTGACTCTCACGGTTATTTTTCTCTGTATTGGGGTGGGGGAGCTGGGAGGATAGGGGAGACTTTAAACATTCACACACAATCAGCTATCGCTGAGCCCCTTCCCACTGTCAATCAAACTCTCTCCAATCTGCACGTAAGAAGCGTCACATAAAACTAATGTACTTTGAAATGTCATCTGTCTATGAAAGCTGCCTACTAGATAGAGTCCAGCCGAACAATCAGGCACTTACCTCTTACACCTCCCGGCGCTCCTCGGGCTATACCTTCCTGGGGGGTTATTTTCTAGCAATTTCCCTCCTTCCTTTGCTGCAGTATAATAAATGACCACGCAGGGAGTAACCCAGAGGTTTCCTGGTGGATTTTCACGGAGGAGGGGGAAGTGGAGCTAACGGAGCAAGTGCTCCTCACCGAACTCAGGAAAAGACAGACGTTGTCAGTTGGGGGGTTCAGAGAAACAGACTTGGTTGGAGTTTGTGCTTCTGGTTGCTTCAGGAAAACATCTCTCTAAAAAGTCCTCCTTCTCTCTTCCCGTTCCTTCCAGCCTCCGATGGTTGTGGTCATTTTTGTACCAAGTGTTATTTCCCCACTTTGCTCACACACAGAACCCAGGCAGACAGCTCCTATTTAGGGGGACAAGAGAGAGTAAGACCCCGGGTTCACATTCCAGAAAGCCTAGAGCCAAAGAAAGCAGGTCTTTTGGCTTTTTCCCTCAGAGCCAAACATACCCTGCTCTGCTTTTGTGGGTAGGAAATCTTGAATTGTGGCTCTTTCTTGGTGTGTGTGTGTGTGTGTGTGTGTGTGTGTGTGTGTATGTATGTGCACATGCATGCCTGTGTTTGTGTGTAGGTAATTATATACTTGAATGGCAGCAATATGCTAGATACAAGGACCCCTCCCCCCTTTATGTAGCTTTAGGCACCAAATAGAGAGAGGCAAGCTTTTCCTGACTTAATCAGCGAATGTCAGACACTTGGCATGGCCTTCACAATGCCAGACTCTCAGAACTAGCCTAGACACAGGCCAGAGAAGGAGCCGTGAAGATGGCCCCGCTGTGAATGACCGGCCCTGCCCCCCGGGAATGCTGGCTTGCAGCGCAGAGACTCGCAAGGTATTTCCTTGGTCTTCAGTGCCGCAGGAGAGGCTGCTTGTGGCTTCTCCCTGCAGTGTCTCAAGATCTCCACACTAGTGTCAGCTGGGCATCTCGCAACGTGATGCTTTCCTTCTTTCACATAAAAATAACTCCCTTCCCCCACATAGTCAGGAAGCTACTGCAAGAATTAATGCCTGCTTTCCACATTTTCCACCAAGTGTTTGTTGCTTATGAACGAACAGACGCAAAAGGCAAATCAGACAGAGGTAATTAGCTAGGCTGTCTGTCTGCTCTGCACCTTTTCCTCCCCAGAGCTGACTCAGGCATGGAGGCGGGGGTGGGGGTGGAGAGGGGCAGCCAGATCAGCACAAGCACAGAAAGAAACCAAGGCCAGGTCCTGCTCTGTGCACAGCAAGGACACAGTGCCCTGACAGGGCCAGGTGTGACCCCACCCACCCGGCTCTTTGTCTCTGCTCAGGTGGCTGCTCCCTGGTGCCAGTTTGTGCAGATAGGCAAAGGACCTATATGGCTGCCCAGTAGCTCAGAAGCAAGCAGTCCCAGGAATGTTGAATCTTCCAGAAACCCAAGGAACGAAGGAATCCCTCCCCCAACAAACACACAAACTTTAAAGTGTGAATGGAGGAAGAGAGAGAGCTAGTAATAATTCATAACTAAAAGTTCAGATAAGCAAGCTTTCCCTATCAGTCTGAAGACGGGTGGGACAGAGGAAGGACGTGGATGTTTTGGAGGAATGGCAAGATGAGATAGTTGAACCTGACAAAATAACCTCTACAAATGCTGTCTGGATTAAGCTAGAGAACCGCAGGGGATTTTCGTGTGCAATGCGGCTGGGTGTGCAGGTCCCTGGGGCCTGCGACGTGCACACATTGCACTTTCTTTTCCCATAGAGACAGGTCAGAGGTCTGGGAGAAGTGTGGACGCCAGGTTGCTTTTCCCTCTCAGATGGGCAAGCCATCAGTGAAGGAATGATTACCTTCACCCACTCTGACCCTAGCCGGTCACAGACTTCCCGAACTTAACGTGTGCTTTGAGACCAAAACATTCGATGGCATACCATTTCAGGTATGTTCATCATAATGCAAAGACAAATTAAAGTTGCCCTCTTATGCTTGTGATAGTAGGAGAGACACAAGAAGAAACACAAGGCTTCGATTTGAGGCACAAACACCCGCATGTGTCCAGGAAGACACAGTTAGCTGGAAGAGCGGGTGTGTCTACACTGCTTTGGGCCTGAGATATAAAGAAGAAACAGTGGAAGAACGAGCAGCAGGGTGAGACGTGTCTGGCCCATGACCCTGCAGCTCGAAATGAAAGCCAGCTAGACTGTTCCAGTCCAGACTCCGTGGAGAAAGCGCAGCACGGGTCTGTCACAGTCACAGCAGGGTCCTGGCTGCTCTCTGCTCTCTCGGGAGTTGGGGTTCAGGGTACACGGCACCTTGTGTGTGGGGAGGGCTCAGACAGTCTGAGTCAGAGCTTCAGTGAGAGCTGCCCTGGTATTGGGCTGTTGGTTGGCTGTTCAATTCTTGTGCGTTTTCTCTAGTGCCAGTGTCAGATGATTTTACGGAGCTTAGAAACTTCAATCTGGGGGCTTTCTCTGAGGAAAATGCAGTGGAACTGTGATGCAGCCCAGGACAAGCCTCTGAGGACAGCTTGTACTCACGGGCACAGCCAGAGCCTCACCAGCCGCACGCTGGACTCTTCCAGGTCTGTGCTGTCATGGCCTGGTGTGTGTTGAATAGAGGGATGGATTAATGTATGTAGCTGGTCGCTGCCCTCTAAGGAACTCGTGAGCCAGGTAGGCAAAGCTATCCCATAATTGTGCCCCCATGTATCCATGATCAGTGGTATATGAAGACTGGGCCAGGTGCTATCTAGAACGCATTTTATCTCACCAACACTTGCCAGTAAAGAGCAGATTCCTGTACTGTAGCTGAACCCTTAGGTCATATCTAGGCCCCCAGGATAAGATACTATTAAGGCTTTTTTTTTTAACCTACAGCAGATTAGGTGGATACTAAGAGGAAGATTGCACTTTTTTTTTTCATTTGCAAAGTCCTTAACTTAAAAGAACCTGAAGAACACTTTGCTAGTTGGGAACCCAGGACTTAGCACAGAGAAGCCTAGAACCCAACATCGATGATATATGTCTCCTTTAAAGAACTTTCTGTGTGTCTGGCTGGGGGCAGTCCCTTTCCTTCCTCTTTTATTTTTATGGGTGCTAGAAATGGTTTCCAATTTCTATTAGCAGTTAACAGAGTCATTTCTTAATAAGAATGCTGGCAGAACCTAAGTCTACCGGACCAAACAATGTTCTCACACCACACAGCGATGTTTGTGCTCTCAAATATTTGCAGATTTCTATCTTGGGTTTTGGTCCTCATCCTCTCAGCCAAAGAACATAAAGTCAGGTCCCCCAAACTTTGCTTTCTTACTTACTAAGTTATTCCTGTACGTCTCTTCCTATGTGTGAAGAAAACAGCTGGAAAAGTTGATCCTTTGTTTTTGAAAGCTCCTACAACTTGGTTACGTGTGTGCTTTCTCTCTCCTGCCCGAATACCAAGCCTAGGAGGGAAGCAATCACCTGAGCTAGCTGCATCTGGCCGCTTGGGGTGGCAGCCAGGTTGCACAGAGGAAGGAATGAGAATTCTGCCTGGCTGCTTTCTATTTTCCACAGCCTGGGGGAAATAAATGATAAAGAGATAATAAACCCTGTCACACAGAGGCATATCACAGACAGAGTTAAGGGTAGAATTAGCTAGAGCAGTAATAATAAGGACTGTGTTGGCATGGAAGTTCTTCCAGTGCCAACAATAGTATGGTACAATGGTGCTTTATTTTTCAGTGCCTTGTTTAGTGCATTTCAAACTTACAATTGGAACCTAAGATCCATGTGAAAGATGAACTGTCAAAGCAATGCCCTCT